TTAACTTGTTTCATCAGCTCAGATAGTCAAAGGAGAAGAAGAATGTGCCAAAGGAAGAAAGGGTGCATGGGATATATACAGTATATACAGTGTGTCCACATATGACAGCTTTTTTAATTATTTTATTCTTTGTCATAGTAGGATAATTTACCGGGTTATTTACATGGGTATTCATATAGATGGATATTTATATTTACACATATAGTTATTGCACTAGGTGCCAAATATAGAGCAACAGGTTATTCCACAAGGTATCTAACGGTAAATTGCACATTATACATTGCCCCAGTTATTGCCGTTGTAGTGTCACACCTACAGTAACAGTCCTTTATAGTCCCTTTATAATAGGATATATATATATATATATATATATATATGTGTGTATATATGATTTATAAGGGGAAATCCAATTAATTTGCCACTAGCAATATGGCGGACTGATTTGTAAAAGCACAGCGAAGGTAGTGCGGAGTAATTCGTGCCTGATGAGAACTCTGGCTGCCTCTGAGGCAAATCGAGCGTCTTTTCGTTCAGGAGCTGTTTTGAACAGCTACTTCGTGCTGGTGCCGTGTAGGACCCCACAATCCATTATGGCGGCGCCCGATGAGACTTTAAACTGTGAGGACTTTTCCATGTTTCAGGTAATTCAAACCAAACGGATAATTGTTTCCCCACTAAAACGTTGCACAGTTAAAGATCGATCCGCACCCATGGTTCTCAGTGGGGGACATTGTCGGATCTCTATTTTTTGTGTCATTTGACCCTCCTGATCGTTCAAGGATCCAGACTGGATTACAGAACTGGAAACTGGGAGCATTTGTGCTTATATCACAAGAGAGTCCAGATCAGGTGACCCGGTTCACAAAACTATCTGAGGCTTTAGTCTTTAGTTATTAAGCACATAGTTTGCACTCAACTCCCACTACTTGCAGAGTTACACTACTCCTGTAAGAACCATCACTATATCAACCACCTGGATATATTATATGATACACACGTGTGATTGGAAACACAGTTTTACCTGCAGCTTAGATTTTTTTTTATAGGATTAATGAAAAACAAGTAACTATTTTTGAATGGCAGACATTTTAACACACAGGGAATAGCACAATTACCTTATCTTCAAGCTTTTGTATTTAAGTTTATTTCTTTAAAAACAATTTTGCTTACTTCTAAATTAAGAGAAAATGTTATTTGTCTTTAGATTATCTTGAAACGAGTCTATTTGCAAAGAGCTGTTTGGTTTAATGTCAGCAAACAGCTGTGAAGGTCTGCTGGAAACATTGAGGATGCTGTGGAGAAGTTTAAAGTCGAGTTACAAACAACATTCTAAGCTTTAAACATTTCAAGACATTTTACAGAGACGATAAAGTCAGATTGGTTAAAAGTTTCTATTACAGAAAATCATGATGGCCGAACTGCAAAACCAGCAAGAGATGATTGTCCACTAGAAATGACAGGCCTGACAAAGGAGAACATTATGAACAGTCAGGAACACCATGAAACTCAGGATTCTAAGCTATACAGGCTATTTTTATTCCAGACAAGTAGAAGATATAAAATATTGTTTCATAGTTAGATAATATTAACAAGTTCAACAATGGAGTTTGCATCCATTACTAAACATCATGTTTTCTTGTTTAGCTATTTATGACATAATCTCATTATTGCATAACTTTCTGAAAAAAAAATATGTTGAGAATCTATGTATTATAGAAACTCAAAAATAATATTTATAAATAAATAGATATAATACTAGAAATACTATTTTCTTATATATATATATATATATATATATATATATATATATATACCGTATTTTCACGACTATAAGGCGCACTTAAACGTCTTTTTTTTTCCTCAAAATGTGCGGTGCGCCCTATGGTGCGGTGCGCCTTATGTGTGTTGTAACTGCGACTTTTGAGACCACCTCATTGAGGAGATGATGAAAGAGTGGCTGAATGTAAGGAGACCAGGTGTTATTTTTCCACCCCTCACCATCGCTGTTAATATGTAACTCCATGCGTGCCCATCTCACAGCTGCATCTCACAGCTGATGTGAAAAACATGGGGAAACAAATTAACGCTGCTCGACATCGGTGTGAAGCAGCCGTTCGAAGTAAGGCTGCGAGCGGCGTGGGA